CCAAACTGGTCATTTAAGATCATAGAGGTGGAGGCAGCAACATAAGGGTTACATCTAATGAACAGTTTGGGGGTAAAGGTCTAAACATAGAACAGTCACCGTGGAAGAAAGTGGAATGTTGCTGTTTAATGTTCCACTTTTAGAACTTTGCTTTTTATGTACAACCACCATTTAATGCAAACTGTGACTAATTAACACACACGGAGACAGTGAGGAGTACCCTGTTCTCTGGAGCTTGCAATCTAAAGGTTGGTAGTAGTTTTGTCTTCCAATCAATTATGCTGTAATCATTAAACACAACATAAAAGAGAAAGTACAATCAGCTATTTTCTTCAATATCTAACACATTTCTAACAGCTTACAGCAGGATAGATTAAGGGATCCATAAATCACTTTAAATAATATAACTGACTCAACAGGCATTCTCAGCTGCACCAAACCCTACTCAGCTCAATAACAGATGTCCCCTGCTCCTGTTTGTGTTTGTTTGGGGGAAATAACCACATTTTAATGGTAACATTATTGATAGTTTTAGTTTCTCTTCACAAAGAACAGGGAATAATGGATAAATGGTGGACTTATTACAGTATGCATAAATGTCACAACTTGAGAAGGAATAGATTATCAATATTCCAAATCATATTAAAGGTGACTTGGAATAAACATAACTAAAAAAAACACGTTTATGTAATTGCATTTTATAGGTGTGTTCATGTCAAATGTCAACCAGCATTAATTAAAGCAGATGTAACCCATTTGAAATAAGTATAGTTTCTTCCATCACATAAAAAACTGTTTACTTGCCTTAGGTGTTATACATATATTTTACATATTTATATTAACACCTTCTCAACATTCTGTTTGCAGTGTTTTGTTCTGTCTGTTGTCTATGAAGGTTTGAGTTAAAGTAACGGTGAAAGTGGTAAGGAAGATCTGCAATCTTCCAAATTGTACTCAGTGCAAATGTCCCAAACATTGGAGGCACATATTTATTTATTTATTTATGAAATATTTTACCAGGAAAGATACTTTGAGATTTCTCTCGTTTTCAAGTATGTCCTGGGTCCACAAATCGCATCAAGGTTATGTAACATTTTTTTTGACACTCTATGGAACCTTGCTGAAATAAAGACCTGTTGTTGTCTAGTATGTGGATCCAGCATTGTTTTGTGAATAATCAAACATTGAATATCCAATTTTGATAATTTTGCCAGAATTGCAGAAAGTATACAGGCTATTTTAGAGATATATATATATATGATTTTCACAGTGAGAAGCACGCAAACGCCTCTAGCGGCTGTCAATGAAACAGCCACTAGAGGCTTTAGAGGCTGGATTAACCCTATTATAAACATAGCAGTTTCTCTGAAACTGCTATGTTTATAAAAAAAAAAGGGTTAATCCTAGAGGGACCTGGCACCCAGACCACTTCATTAAGCTGAAGTGGTCTGGGTGCCTAGAGTGGTCCTTTAAGAGGGGTAACTCTAATGGTCTGCTAGCTGACTTTGCATCCATAGTTCTTGTATAATAATAATGTATACTAATAGGCCTACCATGACAAATGCACGGTGATGTAATTATGCATTAGGATCAATATTTACTCAGCTTTCCAGGACTGACAGATACACTTTAAGCAGACAACTCTATTGCCATTTCAGAGACCTCTGAGTGTATCTAATAACACTCATCATCAGGGCTGTCAACAGAAAGCTTGGGGCTCCTTACTAAAATATTTGCCAACCTTTCTGTATGGCACTTTTGAGCATCTGTTTTAACCTCTTAATGACCAATATGGGTATATGCCATCATAACAGCATTTTCTTTAAGGATCCTATACCAAAAATGAAATAACCAACCCAATTAATTATTGCAGGGTTGTACAGAGCTTCATGGTATCGTTTTCTGTGGCATATATACATGGAGCATGTCATGAAAGTAAAAATGTGTAGTATTTGGTCCCTGGGCACTTAATATTTCAAAACCGGCATGACGTATTGCAAAGTTTATTGTGTTATGTTTACTTATCATATAACATTGAATGATTCTACAAAGTAAATGAAAAATGTACATTTTTGTCAAAATTGTTTTCATTTTTGGGTATCTCTGAACAACAATCTTTACCCAAATTAATTTTTCACATTTGTGTGCTAGCTTTATCTCATGTTTCACATAAATGTTACCCTAATTTTATTATTTTTCTTAATGAATATAGCTCAGGGCTAAATCTATTTCAAGGCATCTCTCATATCTCCCCTCTCCTTCTTCTGGGACATTCTAAAAGGAAATGCCAAAACATCAATTTTCCAGCATTGTCTTAATGATGTCAGTGTATATTCCTCCATATTCTTGTTGCTGAACCTTTTTAACATAGTACATATTTTTTGTCTGAGTGATGCATTTTACCAGCTGTTATTATCAGTTATTCCTTATAGAGTGTAAATATTTTAATTTGCACTTTTTCTCAATGGTCATATTAATTCAAATTTTAGCAATCAATACAAACCACAGCTGGGTTTAAGAATAGAAAGGGTGCTGACAGGGTCAAAAATCCCTTTCAACAACGTGGGTTATATCATCTGACATATTAATCCGAGCTGCCAGAAGCAATAGCCATGAGTCACGTGCACGCTGTGTCCTTAAATAGAGTCTAATGTTTCATGAACTCTACAGAAAGAGCATGGGATGTTTTGGAGTATAATTCCAACCCGTCGGCCCTGTTTATTATTGAATAGTAGGGGATAATATTTGAGGATAAATGTCACCCAATATATATTATCAAACAGCTGCCTCTTTCATTACACATGGTACTAGATAAACAGTGTCTTTGCAACCCTTTGTGCTCTGTAGTATAATATAAGGTGCTGCACAGCAATCGGTTAATGTTGGGCTGACATCCTGACAGTAATCAAGGATAGGTTGAGGTGCATGTAGTGCTAGATAAATGATGCCTCACCTGAGATTAAAGAAGCACTCCAAGCACCATAACTGCAAGAGTGTGCTGTAGTAGTTTTGGTGCCCCACCCCACCCCGCGCACCCACCCAATTAAGTAGTGTACAGCTAATGGTTTAACTTATTACCTGGGCGCCATTCTCCCTGCCTCCTCGCTCAGGTCTGAATTCGTCAAGAAGGTGCAGGGCTTAGCTCATTGGCCAAGAGAGATAAGCTGGTACTGTCAACCAATAAGCTGGCTGTTCACTATAGAACTTCACTACTAGCAGGAGTTTCTAACTGACTTGGGGGAAGAATGCCCTCCTGGCACAATAACCACTACATTGTGTTCCTTTACAGGTCCCTCTCTGCAAAAAGTCACTAACCAAATGCACAGTGTGAAAATATCTCCATTGCAAATACATAGAATAGAATTGCACATGTCTACTATAATCCACATGAACGAAAGCCACAGCACACCCAATAATAAGTAGTTTCCAAAGAGAGTCCAGACATACAAACAGTGGCTTCAAGTTGGTTTTAACTAAATCAAGCAAGTGACTAAGTTTCAGCCCAGCTTTTCAGCCTTTGTCGCCTTTGTCAAGTTCGAAGTGATCATGAAATAGGTCAGTTTCTTTGAATTCAGTACAGTTGTCCAGTGTGCCTCTCTGATTGGCTACAGAAAATCAGCAGACTAATCTGCTTCCTGGTCTGTGAAGAAGGCAGAGCTCTGTGAGTAGCTTCCTGAAAGCTTGTTAGAAACTTTAGGCTAGTAGGGCAAGCTCAAATGGCTTCTTGGGACTTGCATCAAGTTACAACATCATCCCTTAAACCCTGTAGTTATATATTCATTCTATAACAATCTGCATAGAATTCATGCTGAGCCTTTCTCCAAGTCTCATGTAAGAAACACAGAACATTCCCAGGCGATCACGCACATGATGAATGAGCTGTAGAGGGATACTGTAAAACCTTTAAACCTTCAGGGGACGAGCTGCCTGCTCATTTTCTATATTTCCCGGGTCTATGGTTAGGCCAGAAAAGCAGATGACAGGCCAACAGGATGTGCTTTTGTTATTAGTGAAAGGAAGAATGTGAAATATTCTGGGGGAAATAGTGCCCTGGGGCAGGAGATTTCCATGAGACCTGACCTGATCTGTCATATCTAAGCCTGTGCACAATGTTTTGTAAGACTTACTCCGAAGAGTATGGTGGAGAAGTCTGCGGCGTAACAGCAAGGCAATGGCATGCTTCACACGATAGCGCACAAACACTGGTATTAACATGGACGTTATCTTATTCAACCAAACCCCTGAATAATATTTTTGCTATGGATAGAGAGTTTGCCTTAGAATTGTTATTTTATGGTAGAAAGATTCAAGATTAAAGTGTATTAGAAGAGTAAAACTCAGAATAGTAAATATTGCTTGTTTGTTTTTGTTGCATCAATAAGTAATATGAAATAATAACCATACTACTAGTAATATGAAATAATAACCATACTACTGGCAACATAGAATATACAGTAGAGCACCTAATCACTACTACATCAATGCAAACACTACAGGGGAGATGTATCAAAGTGTTCTGTTATGAGTGGTGTAGGGTACTAAATGTAGGGCAATCACCATGGAAACCAGACACCTTTGATAACTACTCCCCCTTTAAACTTTTTGAGCCACTTTTTATGAACAAAACACATTTATTAAAGGGTTACTTGAAACACCATGACCACTTCAGTGTCATTTTCAGGCCTCCCTCAACATTTAAAAATACCATGTGAATGGGTGAAAAAACATCAGTGAGAATATAGTATGAACAACACTAGTGAGAATATAGTGAAATAAAGCAATTACCCTTTTATCCATAATGATCTGTACATGTTGATTAGATTCCTCCAAATTTTCAACACTTGCAAAAACAAATAAAAGATTTGCTATATGTAACTCCTCCCTCAGACTGTCCTCAAGGACATCCCCCGTGCAGTAAGGAACTTTACATTGGTGCTGGTTCACAGGTAAGTTTTGCCTTTAAAAAAAAAAAAAAAAAAAACTTTTATTGACTGTAGAACCTTTTATATGGCACTGTTATAGGATATTGCCCTTTTAACGGTTAAATTGGATGCCTTACTACAGTTGATTTGATCAACTGCATGTACTGTGGACTAGAAGGTGTAGAAGCCATGAAAACTCATCTGCAATCGCAAAGAATGGGGATTCCAAAGTCCAATGCACTCAAATCTAAGCTTGGGTGCAATAGTTACAGGCTGCCTCTGGAAGCAACGTCTGCATGCATATTTAATCAGAAGCTTTATAAAATGGGTTCTCATGGCTAAGCAGCTGCACACAAGCAGTGCCAAGCATTGACTAGAATGGTTGTAAAAGTCTCTAGAATGGTGCAATGTAAATACATTCTCCGGAGTGTTGATTTATCTTTTCCTGGTTGAATAGTATATGATGTTGAATATGTGATGGATAACTCTGGGGTCTGCAGATGCCAGAAGAACTCTACATGGTGATTAAGTGAGTAACTAACAGCCTATCCAAGCTGTGCCTTTAGGCAGCTACCTACCCTCTCTACTTAAAAATCCAGCATTTTGTTTGGTAGGCCTGTGGATCTGGAGACTTGGGTATCCCTGTTATCTAAACCTATGGAGGGTATGACTTTTTTAATGAAATAATACTAGCAGTCAGAAGGGCTTTGACTCTGGAATCTTGGGTAAACTCTGAGATACCTTCAACGGAACCCATGGTGGTAAAGAATAAAGATGCCTATTTGATGGATGAGCTTACCACCCAGGTCAGAAACACGCTCCCATCTTTCAACAACATTTGGCTTCCCTGGGAGGATTGGCAGGGACATTAGAGTTGGTTCGCCTGGGTGAGCTGAGCTTTAGGTTCTCATTTTCATGGCTTTCTTGACTTATCTTTCTTCTCTATCTCTTTAGCTAATACTGTCCCTATCTTTTTCTTTTAGTTTAATATTCTAACCTGCTCCATCTGAATGTTGAGGACAGGGTACCTGTTATTGTTGATAAAAAGGGACTGTGGAAGAATGTGACATCTTGCATGAATACCCATGCTTGTTTATTTTACATTGTATGTTAAATCTCTTGCTGTCTAAACTTACATCAAGAAAAATAAATGCAGCCGTAGGTCAAAAGAGGTATTGATAAGTTCCCACATAACTTCCCCTATTTTTTAGGACTTAACCCTGAAATCAGCGTGTTTATATGTAGTGGAGAGTATCGCATAATCTGACCAAAAGAAGTGACTAAATGGCTACATATTTCATATGAGATAGTTGTTTTCATGTAGCCTTGAAATATTTTGTGTGTGCACTGCTTTCTTTATGTATTTTGTACCAAATATGCCCTATGAATAAAACGACACTTTATTGTATAAACTACTGTATTCATTATCAGTACAGGTGCCCACTCACTAGCTAACAGAATTAACACTATCGGGTTCTAGGGTAAAGGTTATTTTGTTAATATATTTCAAAACACAGAAAAATCTAGTAAATTTCCACTGCACGTCCAGATACAAATAAAATATACCTGGGCACTACTGCTATAATAAATACCCCGTAACTACTACAAAATAAAGTTAGTGATCACTACCACTCAGTAAATACAGTATATGACTATACAATGTAACAAATTAACAAACTAAAATCCAAATGGCAAAACTGAGGCACTGTAATGGTTGTAATAGCACAAGGAGTACTCCAGTAGTCAAACTGCTTAATTTCTTACCCAGGGTCCATCTAGTGCCAGTAACGGCATGGAGCTTCTTTTAGCTGTCCTAAGCTAAACACTGTCGTATAGGGCCAGCTCATCGTCTGAAAGTGTCAGCTGATCGATCTCAGCCAATCAGCTAAGCCCCGCACTGCCAGACTTAACCCCAGGTAAGAAGTTAAACTGTTACAAAATGGTATGACTACTTTCACTGAGGGAGTACCAGGGCACCCTTGGCACCATAACCACTACAGCTCTTTGTAGGGGTTATGGTGTTTGATTTGTTCCTTCAATCTGTTTTGTCACATGTAGGCAGAGCAGTGTGCACTTACAAATAGTACACAGATGTAACCCTGTAGGAAGATTTTAATGAGAACTAGCGTATATCGGGCATTGACAGTAATAGAGATGAGTAATTGAGAACCACACAGTCTGTTTTACTCAAAGTACACAATAAAACGCAGACCATATAGACCAGCGGGAATGTGAGAAAAATGTGCATCTGTTTAAACTAATCTAAGTGTCCCTCTATGGCCCTTTTACATGCTCTGAGGTATGTTACATTATGTTCTCTGGGTGAGTGATTGCCATTTTGAGCAGACCCAATATCTGTCACTCTGTGATATGTTCCTATTTCAACCTTGGATTCTGCAGGACACCCGAGCTTTTTACATAATGGTTTATGCTCTTAATTAAGTCTGTGTGTGAATCCCTTGCATCTCCTTACAGTCATCATAAACAAACTGTTGGCTAACAGTACATGGGAGAGGCGGTAAGACATTGTCTGAGCCCTAAGCTGTTGTTTGTACTGAGTAAACACAGATGTCTGCTCATGGATCACATGGTAGTTGGCTGCTTGCTTGACTGACCCTCTGACCCACATATCCCCTTCACTGGTCAAAGAGCGGTGATGTTTTGGATTAATCTGTAAGTCTACTTTTTACATTTCCAAATGATAAATCTGCTCATATTTTATTTTAAAAAGACCGCGCTCATATATACCAGTGTGTGTATGTGTGTGTGTGTTGTTTTTTTCTTTGTAACCTAGACAGTCTCCAGTGTTGGAAACCATCAAACACAGTTCTTAAAGGAACACGCCAAGCACCATAACCACTACATAGTACTGTAGTGGTTATGGTGCCAGTAGTGTCCTGGTGTCCCATCCCTCCCCACTGTAAATAGTCACACCGTTTTAGAATGTTTTGACTTCTTACCTAGGATCTGCCAAATCCACTCTTGCCTTCAGCTGGAAGCACGCTATTCAAACTAGGTCTGGCAATGCAGGGTTTAGTTTGTTAGCTGAGAGTGATGCTTAGCTCAAGAGAGAAGCTCCTGCTCAGGAACTTCTAGTTTTCCATAGGAAGTGGTAGGGGCGAGAAGCAGCATCTGATAGGCCCAGGTAAGAAGTCAAACAGTTCTAAAACAGTTTGACTACTAGGGCAAAACAGTGAGTGGTTATGGTACTTGAAGTGTTCCTTTAATAGAAGGTGGGTAATATAGCCACTGCATCTTCAAAGATGGGGGCAGGCATTCTCACTCCAAGGCACTCATACATGAAGTATTACTCCATATCAGTAATGATTATCTCAGACCTCCCAATTGACCGATCTTGGTGAGACAGTCCTGATTTTAGAGTCCTGTCCTGCTGTCCTGCGTTTGTTCCCTGGTGCTTCATGCAGGGTCTGCACTCAGTGGTCCGGGATGCTTGATTTGCAGGCAGCCTGTTGTGCATTTATACCAGGATGACCTGCCAGTAAATTAGGAGGAACGCCCCCATTCCGAGTGGATCCACTCTTTTTAGAAGGTGCCAGTGATTCGATTTGCAGCACTGACCCTCCCACTGGCGTCATGATTCACGGGACGCCAACATTGGAACCTGTCTGATCTCCTTAAGGGGAGGAGCTGCAGCACAAGATATAAGTAAAGTAAAATGGTTTTCTTTAATACTTACAGTAGAGGCCCTAAATCTAAATGGGTAAGCAGTACAACTATTGTCAGAAATACAGTATATGTTTATATTTATAATGTTGGGGTACTCCTTTAAAGGATTGTCTAATTTAAATACAATAAATCAATTTAGATGAATCTATTGTTATTGTGATAATTCTGATTTATCATAGGTCTCAAATAGGCTAAGTTTAAATGCTGCAAATATTGATTCAATTATAGTCACGTATACAAATACAATCTGCATCAAATTATTTAGATCTTTTTGTGATAGCATATTCATAAACTACTTTGCATGGTTGTTGATTTTACCGCATTATCAAATAATTTTCCTTGGCTCTTTGTGCATACATTGATTAAAATATTTATAATAATATTAATACTATGTTAATACTGCATTGCCATTTCTATAGGCTATTTTGAATTAAGAAGTTGCTATGCAATGGTTAAATGGTTTCCATGTCCTTCTCCTGTCACGCAGACTCTGGTGAAAGATTATATAATTTTTTCGGCAAGGATTTTCTGTCTAGAGGGAGGAATATTTCTAAGTATCATATTTATCAAACAGACCCACTCACAGGAGAGCGGGTATGTGTATTACAGACAAAGGGAATGTGAAAAGAGAGTATGTGTGAGCTAGGGGACTAAAAAAACCTTTAAAAAAGTAAAATAGAAAAGTAGAATAGAAGTCTGAGTGGTCCTTTCTAATGTTTCCCTTTTCGTCTTTCTTTTTTTTTTCTTTATCTTAATTTTACTGTACCTCTTTCTTATTTATTTTCCTCTCCTCTCTTTTTCTGTTTATCTCTTTCTTCCATTCCGTTTTTTGAGTCTCTCATCTCTCTCCCTTCTTCAAACTGCCTTGACTTTCCCCTTTCTTCCACCAACAGAAAAAAACATCTGGTCTCACTTACAAGTCAGATCTCAGAACTCCCAAAGGCAGAATATATTCCCCTCCTGCCTCTAAATCAGACCCAAGCAGTCGTAAATCACGCAGCAGGCTTATTTATTAGACATAGTTTTGGGCCACTTCAAGCATGGAAAATAAATTTAACCGAAGAGTTCTGAAGCAATTTTCTCTCACATCTCTGTGGGATTATAGTGGGAGAGGAGGAGGGGGGCTTTGGAGGTCCCAGCCAAACTCAAAGACTGCTCATAGGTCGCAGGGGCAAAGAAATTATGGGAGACAGTCTTCAAAAGACCCCCAGTGCACCCTAAATCAAAACACTAAACCGCTGTCACTTCAAGAGATCTGCTTGAGTAGGATTTTGTTTGGCAGGAGTGGGGAGCGTTTAATCATGCTCAGTCTTCAGTGGGAAGTGGTTTGGATTTATATCACATTTTTCCATAAAATCCCTTCAAAATTAAAAAAAAAAAAAAAAAAGAGTATTGCATTGTGGGTAAAAAAATATAATTTTCCCCCACAATTACCTCCCTTAAAAACCTGAATGTTTTTTTTTTATATATATATATTCATGGGTTTTATAGTCTAAATAGTAAACTTAAGCTTTATATATATATATATATATATGTACCAGTCATCGGGTATCAAGTTGGAATAATAACCTGGCCAAGGGTACAGTTGGATGTCAAGACCTGGAAACTACTCACTACGAATGGAGGATTCCATCCGAAATCCAGCAATCACAGACTGTACACCAGCTGGAAGGAAGAAGGTCAGGGCCTGATGTGTGTGAAGGCCACAGTCCTGGATGAAACACAGAGCA